CGCAGTTCTGGTAGTTACTCTGTTTTTTCTTTACTGTACAGTCTCCTACGCTAAGTGGGATCTCATGGACTGTTTTTGCTCTGTGTCGTCGGATTACCGAACTGACTGTTGTGGTAGACCCTGGAGTTAGAAACCTGCCAAGCTCACAGGTAACTCGCCATTCAGGAGTTACGAGATAGCTCGCGTCTTATAAGAAGGTTAGCAATTACTTTTTGGCATGGGAGATTCCTAAATCAATTAATTAGTGGAGACTTCGTCGAATCATTTTTATGTTTATCATGGAACTATTCTGGTATAGGTTGTTTGCGAATAACTAGAATGGATCCATCCAAACACTACTGGCGCTCATCCTCCAAAACAAACGTACATGCATAGAATCAAACCCGAAGGGTCACCTACTTACAAGTTACTCCCCTAATTTATGGTGGTTTTCTCTTATTCGCTGCGGAGCTTTATTAACTCAAGTAAATGGCCAGAGAATCCAATTATTTGAGTATCCAAGGGGTAATTGACATATAGCCTACTCAATATTTGAGTCATAAATTCGTTAAAAGGATCGTGCTTACTTTATTTTTTCTTTGTTTAGGCACACAAGTGTGCTTCGGTGATAGGAAGAACTAGAGGTACCAAAGTAAAATAACAAAAAATCCCATCTCTATGTTCCATGCACTCATGCATACATTTGGAAAATGATTTTCCAGCCTGATTGGTGTATTGCTCTAATCTATGTTCCAAGAGCAGCATACCATTGAAATCAATTGGAAAGTAAACTATATTCTAACAATCAATGGATCCAAATCAATCAGCTCAAGACTTGCATGTATATCTTCTCTCTCTATATATATTTGAATTGTCGAAGACTACCCTCGACGTTAAAATTGTCCTTAAGTTACTTTCTCTTAAATGACAGGAGATGTATGGGGACTACTTGAAGCTCAGATCAAGAGTTGAGATCCTAGAACATACACAACGGTACTTAGCGTGATTCATTACATATCTTGACAAGTAAATGCTTGCTCCAAGTCTCCAGCTAACTAACTCTTCTGTCTTTAGGCATTTGCTAGGTGAGCCGGTATCGGAGTGGATGAGCTTGAGCAGCTAGAACTTCAAGTAAATACATCACTAAGGCAAATAAGATCCTTAAAGGTATACGCAATCTCAAGAAATCACAAGCTTATATTTGATTTGGTCCAAAGATAATTTAGAACAGTACCAAATCTTGGATTTTTTTTCTCATTGCCAGGCCCATTCGATGCCTGATCAACTCTCTGACCTCAAAACAAAGGTACATAGAGAGCCTCACAGTGTTCAATAATCTCGATATAAAACTCTAATATTGATTTATTTACAGGAGGAAATGATATTGGAAACCAACAAAAGTAGTGCTATCTTATAGCCCGAGAAATTGAACTCATTTGAGATCATTTACAACATTGCATGTCTTTCTCTCTGTCTCTATCTTAGTTGGAGGAAAACGATGCAGCCCTTAATAAATCATTATAGGGAGCTTCTTCTTCTGCAGAACATCATCAAGAACAGCAACAACAAGGCATGAGCTCTTATCAAGCAAACGTTCCAAGATAAGAAGTGGGTATCTTCAGGCCTTTACAGGGCAATGTAGCATTGCAGATGAGGTATTCATCATAGAAAAACAGTGAAGACCCAATCAATCGACCTTCTATGGTCAGCTAGACTTTTTTTTTGTTTTTATGGAACAAATGTTATTAACAGGTTCTTCCCTTAATGGATGGTCTGAAAAATACATAGCAATCTATACGTATAGATATTGTAGAAACTTAGTTGGATTATGATTAAAATCTCTGATTAGAGTTAAATGGTGAAGCAAGTAGTGCTCTGCATTTGTATATCTATCAACGTATTATTCATTTTCTTAAGATGTGTTTGTACATATATTCACATGTATGTAGTGAATTAAATTTCCAATTAATTGGCTTCTAGAACTTCCCATTACAGCATACCATTTAAATCAATCGGAAAGTAAACTGTATATTCTAACAATCAATACTTCCAAATGCATATACCCCGACACTCTTAATCACAGTTAGCATACATTCAGATATACCACAATCAAACATAAATTTTAGCACACAATTAAAAATATTTTGAAAATACTGAAATATAAGGTATTTCCACTGAAAAAAAAGTGGGAAAGTTGTTTATCATAAAATATAGTTGAAAGCAAATAAAAATCCAAACACGTAATATTTATAAAAAAAAGTTAAATGTTAACAAATTAAAAATATATGATCTAACAAAAAAAAGAAATTATATTTATTATTTTCCATATAAAGTAAATTTCAGATGTTTTATAAGTTTATAATATATTATAATATAAAATAATTATTATGTAAATTCATCCGCCCGTAAGCCGGGCCAACCCCTAGTTATATAATAAAGTACTGTTTTTTCTCTTCATATGAGTAAACTATGACATTGTCATTCTATCATTAGAATAATTTTACTAATACTACATTAAATTCTTCATAAATATATTTATAATAAATTATGTCTTTAACACAAATAAATTATATTTTGTATAATCATAAACAAATTTTCATACATAATTTTTACTAAATAAAAATTAATAAATTTAGTTATATTGATATATTTATATTTCAATATTTTAAAATTATGGAAGATAGATAAACTCAATAATAAATATCATATCATCTTTATATATATTACCCCATTTAAATATCTAATTTTAATATTTAAATATATTAAATTGTTTTTAAATAACTATAAAATGTTATTAATAATCTTTTAAATTTTACATGTGGGAAGAAATTAAAAAGTACAAAAATTACATCATAAACTAAAAAATACAGTATATTTTAAAAAATAAAACATAATTAATAAATTGGGTTATGCTAATATAGTTATAATATATATAAATAAAAAACCAATCATATAAATTAGAGATCCACGACAATAGTTAGTTTGACTTTCTCAAAGTCAAATCACTATGGCAATACAAAACTAAAAACAAACACACAAAAAAAATATGTTCAAGTTTCAGATTTTGTGTTTGAATAACTATAAAGTATTATTAATAATCTTTTAAATACTACATATGTGAACAAATTGTAAAGTGCACAAAATTACATCATATTCATATAAATCAGAGATCTACGACAATAATTTGTTTGACTTTCTCAAAGCCAAACTACCACGGCAAAACAAAACAAAAAACAAACGCAAACAACAATATATTCAAGTTTCAAATTTAACTATTACGAGTAAACTTTACTCAGTTTTGTAGTAAATGTTTGACGCGTTAATTAACATCTACCTTCATTAGCCTGCGGTGTTACCACTAAATTAATGCTCTCAATAAATCATTTCATTACCTCACATATAACTCACCAGAAACGTTTTGTACCACGGATATAAAAGGTTAACGACCTCTGCTACAATCCAACAATTTCTTTCAAAATAAATGTAAATCAGTCATTCTCTAACATCAAAAACCTCTTTAAAATAATCTTATGAGATATCCTCCCCCAAGGCTAACCAATCCATAATTTCATGGGATCATTTCCAATCCTTGATAAAATAGGTCAAAAGTCAAAACAACAATGTCTACAAGACTTTGCCACTAAATAATATATTATCGTTTTAACTTTCACATATTATTTCCATCAAAGTACTCGTTTAACAAAAAAATAAATTTTATTATATATACAAAACAACTACACCTAAATTAAACAATATATCACAAGTACAAAAAATTACATAGAATTCAAAAAGATAATTATTATTCTTAACGGCTTATCCAAGGTCTTAAACTTAACATAAGTAAACAATTACAATGTTACTTGTAACCAACTTTTACTATGATTACATTTAATCAAATAGAGTCTTGATATAAAACATAAAAGAAATAGATTCATTGATCACTATATCATTGAGGTAATATAACTAGCCATCATTTTCATATAACTAAGAATATTGAAAAAACATATAACTTCTTGTTTAATTTTTCTTATAACAAAACTCTATACCTTGTTTTAAAATTGAAAACTTTTTTTCCTAAAAAATATTTAAGAACGTTTTACGTTTCAACAAAATAATTGGGTACGTTTGTTTTATAGGCACATGAAGTTTTGTTGTCTTAAAAGGTTACTATATGAATCTGTTAAAATACATAGAAAAAAAAACTAAATGGCTTTGTAATTATTCTGAATTGCTAATCAAATTTGATCTGAGCATGTTCTTCTATGAACATCTAATTTTTTTTTTTTGTAACAACATGAACATCTAATTTTTATAGAGTATAAAACCGATTGTTTTTTTTTTTGAAAGTATATTAAATTAAGGGTTTTTAGTAATAAAACCCTTAAACTAAAGATAGATCGTAAGAAAAATCTTCAACTAAAGATTTAGTGAAATAAACCCTCAACTTTAGTTCCGTTAATGTATGTCACCCTCTGTCACAGAATTTTAGACGGAGGATGACATACATTAACAGAATTATAGTTGAGGGTTTATTTCATTAAATCTTTAGTTGATGATTTTTTTTACATTTCATCTTTAGTTGAGAGGTTTTATTACTAAATACGATTAAACATTTTAAAATCTTTATTATCATTTATATATTATTTAGGAATCTTACAACTGATATATAAATATTTAAAATAATTTATAATTTTTTATATATTACTTTATCAATTTTTAACCTATTTACAAAACTTAGTATATATATTAATATTTTTATAAACTATTAATAGGTTATATACTAAGTTTTAGTAATAAAACCCCTCAACTAAAGATGAATCGTAAAAAAAAAACTCCAACTAAAGATTTAACGAAATAAACCCTCAACTTTAGTTATGTTAATGTATGTCACCCTCCGTCTAAAATTCCGTGACGGAGGGTGACATACATTAATGAAACTAAAATTGAGGGTTTATTTCATTAAATCTTTAGTTGAGGGGTTTTTTATGATCCATCTTTAGTTGAGAAGTTTTATTACTAAAAACCCTTAAATTAACTCAAACAAAAAAAACTTTTTTATACTTTGTACATTCGGGGAAAGTTTTTTTCAGAAGAAGAGACTAGTATTCATGATCTTATCGTGTGGCAAACCAGATGGCTAGACCTCCCGTGTGCTCCCGGTCATGGATAGAAGATAGAGCATGTTAGATTAGATTGGCTTTTAACCTAAAATCAATTGGTGATAAGTCTTGTCTCTGTAGCTTGAAACACATATCTCACAAGAAATGTTTCAGTTTTGTCTCTGTAGGAGCTGCAGTATTTGTTCCAACTGATAAGTGTAGCGATCAGCTAGCAGATTTTGTGTTAAGCCTTTCCAAATCTCCTCTGAAAAAACTGCAACTAAAAGATGATTTCTTGATTCCAATGGGTCAGTACTACAAAGCACGCAAGAGCCTGGATGTTAAGTGCTCCACTTCTGAGTTCTATCTCCTAAGGCTTGCAAGCTAAGCCATGAAAGAAAACTTTGGAGTGTTAAAAGTGAACCATTCACTCGCTGAGGAACTCTATTGTTTGGATTTTCATTCGCTGAGGAACAATAAAGGTGAAAGTTTTATTTTCTTAAATTCTTAGACAAATATGAATTGGAGCCGTCGGAGATGGGATACTTTTCAAATGGAGCCATCATTGACCCTTTCAATTTGTATCCTATGCTCTCGCTCTTTGATCTTTCTCTCTCTCGCTTTAGAAAATTCAAATTATTTGAAAACTAGAGTCGTTGAATAATATTAATTTTTAAATCTATGGCTTACGTTACGTTTGACTCATATTTAAACAAAGCGATTGGTTTCACAACTAAACAAATAGTAAGTGTAAAGTGTTTTACAGAGATCAAAAGGTATTTAACAAAAATAAACTATACAGTACAAGAAAAATATTTTTAGTTTTCTTGAACACGCTTTAGAATAATATAAAAATGAACGTTTGGCTAATTCTCTTCAGCTCCGTGCTAAGATCTTAAAATCGACTTCAAGTCTTCTTCTTCCTCTGAATCTTCTTCAAGCCATGGCTAATCGCTATGATCCAAATCCATTCGCTGAGGAAGAAGAAGTCAATCCCTTCGCTGTAAGCAATTTCTTTAACTTTTTTTGTGGGATTAATCGCTCTCCACTCTTGCTTCTTGCAAATGGGTTCTTGAATCTGAGAAGTGGGTTTTACAGTCTTTGTTGCTTAGAACCTGAAAATGGGTTGATCAAATTTAAATATTTATGAGGAGATTTGTAGTTTAAGTTTGTAGCTTTCACTGGTTTAAGCAAAGGTTGTGATGATTATCTTTAAACCAGTTTATGTTTCTGAAGCAATACAGATTTGTGTTTTTTTCAACTGATTCATAATCCAATTATTCATGTTAATTTTAGAATCCAGGGAGTATCCCTCCAGCATCGAACTCAAGACTCTCACCTTTGCCTCCAGAGCCTGTTGGTTTTGATTATGGTCGAACCGTAGACATTCCTCTTGACAATGACAGATCCGGTACACAGGTTAGTTGGTTAGAGATAATGGAGTTTGATTAAATTATATTGTGGTTAGGTTGATCTTGGAGTTACTTAATTATGATAAAGGATTTTGTCTTTGTGTATTTGTTGGGAAATGTTTAGAATTTGAAGAAGAAAGAAAAAGAACTTCAAGCCAAAGAAGCTGAGCTAAGACGAAGGGAGCAGGTAATGCCTGCTAAAAACATGTAGTAGTTATGCACTATTGAGTATGTTATGGATGTTAGTGAACTGTGATCAAATGATTAGTTTTATTGTTTTCTAGGTTTCATGATCAAATCTCTTAACTTTTTTTTCCATTTCCTAGACGCAGTGTTGTTGTTTCTCTGAATGTTTTTTTTTGTGGTTTTGGTTCTATGTAGGACGTTAAGAGGAGAGAAGATGCTGCTGCACGAGGTACCTTTGCTTATGAAAGTTTAGTGGACAAGTTACTCTTTATTTCTTTATCATTAATTGTGTGTGGCTCTGTCTCTCTCTGTCTGCAGCTGGAATTAATATTGAAGTGAAAAATTGGCCACCTTTCTTCCCACTTATCCACCATGACATTGCCAACGAGATCCCGGTTCATCTCCAAAGGCTACAGTATGTTGCCTTTGCTACTTATTTGGGTACGTATCTCGTTCTCCTACTTCTTGTTTACTGCTTTTGTATTCATCAGAGTTAAGGGGTCATGCGTTTTCTTAAAAGCTTGAGATTGCTTATTGACACATTTAGATGTGGTTCTTGTTCGGCAGGGTTGGTTCTATGTCTGTTCTGGAATATTATTGCCGTTACGACAGCTTGGATCAAAGGAGAAGGTTTGTTTCTTAGGTTTATTCTTTCAGAGAGACCTTTACTGCATCATAGCTAACAAGACTTAATAGAGTGTGATGCAATTTTTTCAGGAGTGACGATATGGCTTCTTGCCGTTATTTACTTCATAGCGGGTGTCCCAGGAGGCTATGTGTTATGGTACCGTCCTCTCTACCGTGCCTTCAGGTCTGGAGTTTTTCTACTTTCAAAGTTCTGAGTCTTCATGTTATGTTACTGAGTTTTCTCACATGGTTTGTTGAATGTGTTGTTTGCAGAACTGATAGTGCTTTGAGCTTTGGATGGTTTTTCCTGTTCTATATGGTGACCTTCTATTAGCTTTTTTAACATTTTTGCTTTGTGTGAAAAGTGAAAACCAGTTTTAAAACCTTGATTCTTGCTGCACAGCTCCACATACTTTTCTCGGTCTTTGCTGCGGTTGCTCCACCTGTTGTCTTCAAAGGAAAATCTCTTGCGTAAGTTTTTTTTTTGTCATTGCTTTTGGTATTTTGAGTGTGGGGAAACCAGTTGAACTCATCAACTTCATTAAATGGATTTGTCTTCATGTAACAGTGGGATCTTACCTGCAATAGATGTCTTACGCGGTAATACATTGGTCGGGGTAAGCTTTCATCGCCCTTTGATGATCTTGGAGGGGTCTTAAAGAACAATACTAAGATAACTGAAGTTTTGATCTTATCATATGGATCGTTGACCTTAAGTTGTTCTTTGTTTACAGATATTCTACTTCATTGGGTTTGCGTTTTTCTGCCTTGAATCAGTAGTCAGCATTTGGGTTATTCAGGTTCAACACTCTCATCAATACAATTATCAGTTTGTTGATTGTATTGTTTATAATCTCCGTTTCTGATGTTGTGATGGGTTTGTTTTTTTTTTGTTTGAGCAGCAAGTGTATATGTACTTCCGAGGCAGCGGGAAACAAGATGAGTTGAGACGGGAAGCAGCGAGAGGAGCCCTGCGAGCTGCTGTGTGAGAGCTTTTTACTGTAACACTTTGTTTGTATGTAATTTTCACTGTTTCTTTCGTTTTTAGATTCTGCTCTTCACGTCTCTCTGCTCTGTATGCAAAAAAAAGATCCAGTTATTCTTGATACCTTTAATGTAATGTAAATTTGTTTGTTCAAAAGGTTAGAGTTCAGATTCATACCATTTTAGGAATCATTCATGGATTATTTAATCTTTCGGAGAACCCTTTTTTCTTCGTCTACTTTTCATTTTGCTAGACAAGTTTAAGAACCCACTTACATCTTGAAGTTGAATCAGTCAATGTTTGGGTTTTCAGATATAATTTCACATAATTTTCCTAAAATCAAATGATCACAATCTATGCAGAGCAAGGAGTTACAAATGATCACATAATCTTGTTCTAATTGTTCTTAATAAAGTTACAAACATCACGAGTGGTGGTAGTATTTGTGTGAAAGGAAGCTTACAATATCATTGAGCAGATGATAAAATCATGGACCGATGTAACCATAGCTTTGTGGTAGGTCACTTGAACGTTCGAAACCACAAAGCCTTGGGTTCGAATATTGGTCATCACAACCATACGCCCTTTCTGTTTCTATCTCCAATTATTCATTAGAGGCATTCTCAAATGCCTTTTTTGTTTACAAAAAGAAATTGATAAAATTATGGATAAATTAATTAACCATGTGACATGATAGATATACCGTTTATTGTAAGATAAAATTAAAACATGCCAAATCAAGAAAAAAAAAAGACTATATAGTAGAAAGTTTCCCTCTCATTAACCAAAAAAAAACATTTTGCCTAGACACATTTCAACAATAAGCCACACATTTCTTCTTACAGTCGATTGTACAGCCACCTCCCCCACCACCACCACCGTATCCTTTGCCAGAGCGGCTAAAAGACTTGAAGCATTTGGCCGGACACCTCAGCTTCTTCATGTAGCAAGGACCTTTCTCTTTACACACCACTGTTGGTCTCACCACACCTCCTTTGTTGTATCCACCGCTAGGTCCGCCATAACCACCACCGTACCCACCACCAATGTTTCCCCAATCCTTACCAGTGAAACCCGGTAATCCAAAACCGGTTCCTGGTACTGATCCGGTTCCGGGCCCAAAGTATCCTCCTGATCCATATCCCTTGTCATTCTTGTTATTATTACCTTTGGAGTTTTTTTGAGCTGGTCCGAGACAGATTCGGGTCCGGTCGGGTGTGAGTGGGAGAGTGTTAGTGTAAGAAGCAAGAGCGTGAAGAGGACAATGAGTTTTGTAGTCATTCTTTTTTGAGAGGGAGGTGGATTTGATATTTTAGATTCAATTGTTCATGAAGAATCTCTATAATATTATTTGAGAAGTCACTTACTTAGGTGTCGCGCTCACGTTAACTCTCACGCTGGTTGATTACTATGATACCCCTAATGAATTATAAATATATTTAAATATTATTATTTCCTTTTAAAAATCTTCCAAATAACAATATAAAATAAAAAGGAAATCTATATAAAATTTACAAAACTATTTAAAACGAAAAATAAGTATATATATAATATGGTTTCATAAAAAAGGAAAGTTTACAAAATAGTAATATTTAACTTAAACATATTTTTAAATAACATAAATTATACTTTTAAGTAATAAAATACTTTATATCTATATCTTCTTAGATGAAAAAAATATTTGTATATAATGTGTTTTCATTAAAAAAGTTCATACAAATAATCTTGATATTAGAAAAGAAATAATTTAAACAATAAAATATATATTTTCAAATTAAAAATAATTTAAACAATAAAATATATATTTTCAAATTAATTATTTTTTGATATATCTATATATTTTATTATTATTACATAAAATAATTAAGTAACATAAACTGATATATGTTTAATTGACAAAAAATTATAATTAGTATTATTGAAATATTTTTAGTATATTTATTTGATTATAATATCTTACAATTACAGCAAAAAATATAAATTATATTTTACTTATATAATATAGTTTCTCAAAAAAAAATCACATTTTTACTGCATGTTTTAATAGATGTTAAAAACAAAACGAAAAATAAATTTAATAATAAACATCTTTTGATCAAATAACTACAATTCTTTTAATATATCATAACACTATAATTTAACAAGGTAGATATATTATAATTAATAGTTCAAATTATCTGTTTTTTTTAATAACTCTTTTGATGTTTAGTTTTCTGTTTTTATGTTTGTGAAATTTAATATAACCATAATCTAATACTTAAAGCAAATCAGAATTCCTTTTTTAAAATTATTTTAAAAAAAAATCAGTTTATCATCCAATCAATCTATGGCATAAATTATTTAGAGTTTATAAAATATTTTAATTATTTTAAATATTGATATGTGTTCATAAGCTTCCAAAAATTTATTATTACTTATGTAATTTAGAATTAGACACTTTAGTTTTTATTTTTTTCGTTCTAAGCACAAAAAATCTTAAAATACATAATCCTACTACGATATACTTATATTTCGTAGATAACAACCAACATATATGTAAATAAAATAATTAATCAAAAATTTAAGATATTTAGAATAAAAAATATTATAGTTGAATTCATAGAATAGAAAGAATCCAATATATATATATATATCTAAATGATAATACTGACTAAATATAATATATATAAAATTATAATAACTAAAATATATAATATTATTAATACAAATTATACATAAAAACTATAAATTAATATAAAATTTAAAGTAAATATCAATCAACTATTATAATATATTTATTTCTTAAATATTTAAGCCCGTGCTCATGCACGGGAAAATCACCTAGTAGATAATATTTATAGAGAATGGTTATAGATATGCTTATGTAAGAGAGTATAAAAGGAATAACTATTTACAAAATGCATTTAATTGATTTGGAGTAAAAGTTGGTGATAGTTAAAAACAAAGCCACATGCCATATACGATTTTGAATAGTGTTTGATTTTAATTCATTTTATATACAGTATGATATCATTCCGGAACTTAAAAGAGATTAGTAAGGCCAATAATATGAAATACTTCTTAAATTAAAATATAGAAAGAAAAAGTTTAATGTCTCTATCTCAAAGTCCTCTAGTTATCCAAATATGGTCGGCCCTTTCTCATGATGGTCTATTGCATATTGGCAATGCAAACCCAAAAATAAATGTAACGACAGATAATGTTTCCACTCGTAGCTAAACAGAAAGTGCCATCAAGTTCCTTAACTATCATCTACTTTTTATCTAGAAAAAAAAATCTTAAATCAGCATATTTGAAAGTTTTTATTCAGACTTAGCATATTGAATTTAAACTTCCGAAATAACACAATTGTTGTATACGTACGTATATAACAATATTAAAATGTTCCGTCTGGGTTCACTATGTTCAGTTTAAATTTTAGGTTATTAAAAAAAAGTTTGAAGTTTAAATTTCTTTAATTATTAGAGAAGTGCGTTTACTCATTTTGGTATAAAAATGTGTACCATTATTGGAAGTTTAAGATAACGTATTATTTTATTTTTGCTAGATCTGAAACTAAAACTTAAAAGTGTTTATTTTATAGAATTCCCCTTTTATTTATATATAAAATCTAAACAAAGAATCTTATTTAATTTATTTACTAGATTTCAACCCGCGCAACCGCGCGGGTATTTGTTTTCATTTATTTTTATATAAACATTTTGTTTTTACTTCTAAATTAATATATATTATATAAGGTATGTATATCGAAAATGATATATTATATAAGGTGTGTATATCGAAAATGATGATTAATTATTATATAGTATAGATTAATTATTGTTAGACAATGATATTTTTGTCATTTTTAAAAATAAACTATATAAAAGTTAACATCAAAAATATATAACTAATTAACTTATACTATTACAATATTAAATTATACTATAAGTTTAATTTAAATATGTATTTTATTATACTATCTATAAATTCAATGAATCATCCAATTTTTATTAGCCCAATAAAAATTTATAGTAAGCCCAATAAAAATTTATAGTAAGCCCAATAAATGTTGTTAGTGAATCTAATGAATGTTATTAATGATTAAATATATAATGTTACCAACTCTAGTAGATAGTCCATTTTATAAAAAATCATACATGAAGGAGAAGTTATCTCTTTTAATATAATAGATAGATCTCCAACTAATTTTCCATATCCATTGAGCAGTTATGCATTTTCTTCTATAAAATCCAGCGGCGGTGGTTGGAGTTTTTGTAAAGGGTACACTGTGACTATCTTAACACCTTATCTTTGATAGTTTGATGTATTTTTGTGAGAGTTGAATTTAATTTTCAACGATCTATAAACTGGTTGGGGACCTTTTCGGTTTTTCTTTCTAAGAAATTCTAATCCAGAAAGAAAATTCATTCACAAGAAAACCCACCTGACTACTTTTTCGAGTGCATTTGGTTCAACCACTGTACATGAAAATGATATTTCAAATGGACTTCTCTTACGCTCCCTAATTAGTTTGGTTGTTAAAATGCTTATACAATTCCAACTTCTTTTTAAAAAGAATCAATCTTAAAACATTGGAATCTCTATAGTATAATTGTTATTAAGAATGTTGAAATGCTGTAAATACAAAATAATATTATATCATCATAGTTGGTAGAAGGAAATTTTCTAATCATGGTAGATGGGATTCATAAAGCAAACACTTCAATTTAAGTGATACCCATGCTATTAAAATATGCAAAAAAATTGACATCACTGAATACATGGGTACAAGGGATCTACCGAAAAAATGTCAATGTGTATAGGTTCATGGACGGGTCTATGCAAACTTATCTTTATGTCTTCTAAAGTATTGTAAGGACTGAATAGCATTGCCTTACATGTGAAATAATATGTGAACCTTAATTGTATATTGTACCTCAGACGTGAAAACCAAAGGAAATAATGCAGGTTGTTGTTGTCGTTTCTATAGAGAGCTCGCGAATTTGGAGATACCATTCACTACTGTGTTTATTGCTTTTCCAAGGCATCTTCATTGGTAATCTTTCTTGGAATTTATATTCAATATAAAATGTAGAAAAATGAAAAAAGTAGTTTAATATATTTTTCATTTCAAATACTCAAAGAAATATGTGATATACCCATCTATATATAGCAATTCATAATTGAATTATTTTAATTTTTAAAAATATTTAGTTAATTAATTTAATAACATATTAGTTTTATATTTAGTTATATTCTCTTATTAATATTTCGACGGGATGAGGTAGCAGCTCAGATAAAACTCTCACGGGTGAATATCAAAAAAAAAAAAAATTACCCTTCATGATGCTCTCACCCGAGTTTGGAGAGACCCCAACATTACTGCATGATTGATGATTAACATGACCATTTATCACATCAATCTACATTACACCATGTTAATTTGGCCAGTAATCACATTAATTATCCATGTAAGTTACACAGACAAAGCTCGTGTGTGTGGTTAGGCCTATACTCTTTATTGTACACTACAATACATCCAAAGCTATTTGATATATGTATAGCTGAATATTCGCAAAAGCCAAATGTATAGCTAACTAAAATTATACACACAACAACAACAACATCAACAAACGAAAAGCTTGTGTAATCCTAACTTTAAGCTTCACAAATTGGTGAACATATTTTTTCACTATGACATTTTTTTTTCTTTTTTTCTTTTTTCTTTTGGTAAAAAAAGACCACGATGACTTTATATCACCTATTTAATTAGTCTTGTTTTTCCTTGTGTTCAAACAATAAAGATTTATAAAAAAGTAGCTAAACTCTTTTTCAAATAAAAAAAGAGAGCTAAACCCCACGACCAGTTATCTCTTGGTACTGTCTCAGTGACTCCATTCTCTGTAACTTCATATCCTCGTTAAACTTCTTGATAAACGCCTCAACTCGCCGATTCAACTCGTCCTGACTCAGTGACGGCTCTTTCCTCACCTTCCCTTTCGCCTTTTCCTGAGACTGGTAATAGTTAGTCCTGTCCCTAAACGTCTCCGATTTCTTGTAAACCGGTCTCGCCTCGCCGCTACCGCCGGAATCTCCACGGCTAAATGTGTCGGATCTCCTGTATAACGGTCTGGTCAACGGCGTTGACTTCCCTTCAGTTATCATCTTCCAAGTATTCTCCAGTGTTTCGTTCCGCTTCGGCTTCGCCACCCTCAACATCGATTTTCCACCTGCAGAAAGTAGGAAACGATATAGAATTACGAATTTACCCTTCTGGTGTTTGACTTTCAAAACAACCGACGAGTGTTGTCGACGGCAAGTTTGACTTCTCAAAATAATTTAAAACCTACCTAACCGTTAGTTGACATCATGACATCATATCTGTCTTTAAAAAAAAAACATTTTCTAAAAACATCCCACGCTAATTTTCTTTTGTTTTTTTAAATATATATTTAAAAAAAAAACTCTAAATAAAATTAAAAATTTATATATATTGTATTACTTAGTAATATTAAAATATAACTTTAAACATACTTAAAATATTACTGATTCAGAATTATTAAAAATTGTTAACTACAAAAGTAATATATTAGTAATCAAAACTTTAATTTGTTATGTAAATACCTCCAAAAATCAAGAGTCTCTTTAATTTAAAATTAAGTGCATATCAAATTCAAAATTGATTGAACTAATATTAAAGAAAGTTAAAGAGTTGTACCTTCTTGACTAGCTTTAACTAATTTCCGGTGGCCGAACCTTGAAGAAACTAAAGGTTTCTCAGTCGGAGGGAGATTCTCCGATTCATTCATCCTCGGAGGCAAATGATTCCGATTTAAATTCACCAGCGGCAACATCACATCGTCACCGACAAAATCAGAACCTTCCACCATAGTCACGCTCTTAAGTTCTGATTCGATTTCATCTTCACCTTCCACCATAGTCACCACATCTATTATCTTCTCTTCGTCATACACAACCGAAATAACCGCCTCCCCTTCCAGTTGCGGAGCCACCACTGCAAAACCGAATTGAGCATCAGTCACCTCCTCCAGCATCCGCGGAGAAGCTTGGTCATGCACAATCGGCTCCGTCTGGATCTTATAATCGTAAACGATTCCACCATCTTCCTCTTCATGGTGGCTAGTACTTCGGTAATACTTGGACGAAGCCACGATAGTGATGATGATTCCGTTGGTTAGTATGTAGAGATACGGCGGTTTCAGCCACGACAGCAAAGAACTCCACAGTATCGGAGCTTGCGACACGGAGAAATCGACAGCCACTGGAACAGAGACCTTGAGTAAAAGTCCGACGGAGGCGACGCCGGTAGATATTAGCACCGCCTTGATTGTCATCAGCCACGATACCATCCTCTCTCTTTCTCTCTTTCAAGATTTGTATTGGAATCTGTGTGTACGGTACACGTTAAGGATTATTTTCATGTTTATATAGGGAGGGAAGAGTAACCTCTGGTTTGATATCCGCCGTTAGATCTACGCTTGATTAGATGGACCGTTACGATTAATGGAGAAACCAGGCAATATGGGTCCGGGAGTTAAACTCCGAATTTTAAATTTACATTATCTGATAATTAACCATATCCATAAGGTTAACTATCTCTTACGTGTAAATATATCTGTGTAACAAATGCTGATGTATGATCACTCTCTATTGAAAGTTACTGGTGGAATTTTGTAACTATATTCTAATGTTATAGAGTTTTTCGTTATGATGATATTTATAGATTGATGATAATATGTTACTACTTTGATATAAAAATATTTACCGCAAAGGAATTATGATGTATATACATACCAAGGAGAACTAGCTACGGAAGTCAATCAAGAATTCTAGATTACATTTCGTTTGTTAAAATATCCAATTGACAATATTTTCCTCATTATTCCATCTAACAGTAGGCATCATTTACATTATGAATCGCATTATTTTATTCAAAAGAGCTTGATTACTTATTATTCAAGTAACGACCACATGATATACAAACACTCAATATAATCTCTAATAAAGTAATACGTTTTGACATTGTTTTAGCATGTGTAATATATTAAATTAACGATTAAGTTGTAAGTTTCCAAGTATTAACTATTGATATGAATAGGGTTATATTCTTAAGTATGTGGTTGAGTTAGAGTTGGTGCAGATAACTAGATTAGTCTAGAGGCAAATAATAAAGTGGTGTACATTAATGACATGAGTGTCGGGGCAAAGCGTATACTATTTTACTTTTTTTTTTTTTTTTTTTTTGAAACAGTATACTATTTTACTAAACTAAATAATTTAAACAACACATTTTAGATGTAGTGGTGAAGGCCTGAAGGGACAAGAGTCTTGTCGAGGAAAAAGTGTAGAAAATAGCTTATGGACTATAATATAAGTATGTCGATATCATATATGATATGTATTTTCAGTATTACTTTTACAGTTTTAACCAAAACACTTGTTTACAATTACTAAATCGCAGTCTTAAGACGCCAACTTTCTTAAGAAAGATAAATAATAACTTACAAAATCATAGAAACAAGTTTGTAGTTTCAGAAAAAGAAAATAAATATAGTTAACTTCAAAATATAAAAGTCTAAAACTGTTATGTATTTTTGATTAAATCCCTATTAGGGATTTTTTTTCCAACATATGTTATTTACGATTTGTAAAGGATTCAGAATAGTCATGTTTTTGGGTGTAATGAATTAAGTCAGTTGACCACAGAGTTCGAGTGATTTCATTACAATTTTTTTTTTGTTTTTAAAATGTACTCCGTATTTCTTTTGACGCAGAAAATAATAAAAATACTCGATTCTTTCACTTATTTTGAAGATCATCTAGATCATGATACAAACATCTTTGCTTACAAAAAAGGGCGTGCAGTTGCAGATTTTTAAATTCTATCAAACATTTTCGAGGTTTTAAAAATCGATGTTATTGCAGCAAACTAAAAATAAACTTCAAACCTTAGGTAAACCAGAGGAGCTTTTCTTACGGGTAATGAAAAAATATGTTTTGAGATAAATACATTATTAAATATTTCTAGAGAGGAAAAGAGAGATGGTGCTTGAAAGTTACAACGGTCATATCATATATTGGACCGTTATATGAGGCAAGTTTTATTTGGGTCGGCAGTGAAGCCCCCACACTGCTCGTGGCCAGCTGTATGCTCAGTGATCCAACTACAAAGTTTTACTTCGCAAGTGGCGCCATAACTTTCGACCTTTTCTATTATTATAGATTCTTTTGAACTTGTAAAAAATGATATTGCTTTTTATTTACTGATACATCACTTTTCTATATAAAAATATACATCATTCCCACAGTTTTTTGTGGGGAAAATACTATGTAATCAATCAAGCGTCCATGAAAGTGGCCAAATATATCGAATATAGAAATAAAATTTTGTTTTTTTTCAGAAAAAAAGCTCCGATGCCGGGAATCGAACCCGGGTCTCCTGGGTGAAAGCCAGATATCCTAACCGCTGGACGACATCGGATTTGTTTATAAGTTTGTGTGTTTGTTATTAATTCAAGTTTAAAACGAGGGAAATCATGATAGATGGTCATAAGGATCTAAGATTAGCCAAATTTTTCACGTTATGCTAATAAATTTAACATAAAAATGTCTATGCTACATCGAGGTGAGTTGACCTCCCTCCACCGTAAGTAGCTCTGCCACTGACACAAGCTCATGAATCATAAAGCTTCGTATTTGTTCATTTCATTTTGGTGAATCATTACAACTAAAATTTAGAGACAGGTTTAGAGTAAGTAATACTGTTTTTTTTCTAATAGAATGCATGCATTTACAAGTTTTTTTTTGGTTTGGAGAAGATGATGTACAGATTTTTCAAAAATAAAAGTTTAGTTCGCAAACAACAATTAATGCAAACAACAGTTAATGCAAACAACAATTAATACGTTGTTTTTTTGAGAAAAAAATACATTATTCCGTCCACTGCAAAATTTGCAAGACATTGGAGTTAATTAGTTGGGACTTATCTCCCTATTTTAGTTTTATTTATTTATAAATCACTAATTTCATCAATCATATCGTACCTTTTTTCAAAATTCAAAGTCTACGTCATGTTTCTACTAATTTTTACCAATCATATTTTAGTTTTATTTATAAGCTCCGTCAAAAAAAAAAATAAAGCAATTTTTTTTCTAATGTATGTTAGGTAAAAGTTCTACATCCTTCTTTTTTAAGTTATAGAATCTGTCAAATGAAAAAAACTATCTATAATATCAAATAAATTATATAATCATAATAAAAACATCTATAAATATTCTAATTTTTTTGGGGTTTTTAAATTATTGAAATATTAAAAAAACATAAATATTATTTACATATTACATTTAAATAAATTTTGATATTTATTTAAAAATATTAGTAGAAATTGTTTTAATTGATAAAAATAATTGTTTTATATATACGTCACATATTTCACCTATTTTATTTTACAATATCTACCGCTTATAACTTATCTACAACTAAACTTTTACAGTTAAATTTTTACAGCTACAGTCGAACTAATCATCACCATTAGTAGATAATAGTTTATAAAAACATAGAAATTATGTTAATTGTAAAGCTTGTAAAAGCTTGGATACAAATATTTGATGTTTGACTGTTTCACACATATTAAAAGAAATAATTAATAGATTATTTTGTTTATCACTTTTTGATTTTAGCAATATAGTTTTATCATTCATGTTTTATATTTTATTTGATATTCAGTTTTAAAGATAAATGTATTAAATATACTCTAAAACATCAATCTTTCAAATATAATAATAAAATCTAAACCATCAATTATTTGTTGTATGAGTATGTATAATGTATCTGCTTTCGACCACAAGCTTTGCTAGAAGTTTCGTAGAAATAGCGAAAGAGCATAACGACAAAATTCAGTTGACAAATGTTTCGACTGATAGGTAACCGTCAGTTTAGTCCAACGGGCGGTTAAATGGTCAAAAGGGTAAAAGTCCATGTGTCACTTAACGAAGCTAGGAAGGGAACTCACGCGCTGCATTCGCAAGTGTGGTAATGACATGTTGAACCGGAAATTTCTCGTTTAGGTTAAAGCGGTTTTAAGAGAATCTATCCGAAGATGCATTACTTGTGCACCGGCCACAGATAACGAGACAATAACATTGACAGGTTCCGCTTAAAAGACGCGAAAATTAATTGGAGATTTTCTCAGTTTTTCGTTTAATTGTTTTCTACAGAGATAATGTGAATAAATTACGGAATGGATAAGTCGGTATGTAATGAATTGGTGGTGGTACATACTAATCGTTGACTGGTTCTAATAAAACAAAGATATAATTTTTCTTTTTATATAACTGATCACTTAACCGAAACATACGACAATATTCATTTTTGTCTAAGCTTAGGGGCATCTTATATATTAAAACAGAAGTCACAACCTAGATTCATGTGTGATTTTTTAAAAATGGACTATTCCTTAAGAAGATTATGAAGATTATCAAATGTTACATAATTTAATGATAATATCCTTAAATATCTTTATTTTTCTATTTGAAATACAAATGAAATAAATCCAACTAAATCTTTTTGACATCTTTTTAAATTGTATTTCCATAATATTGTCCCATATATTTATCTTTTATTCGAAATACAAATATTTTTGTTTAAGATATTAAAATTTATCTAGATAGCATTATATATTCCTAAATCCTAAATAAAAAACTATATATGAGAGTTTAACCCACACAATTTTTTCTTTTTATAAATATAACACTTTGATAGTATTATAAAAAATTAATTATATGATCTACATTTAATGTTATATATTATATAACTCTATAATTTAGTTGTTTAAGTTTTTTATTCTTCATTATTAATATACAGTAATTTGTTTTATATATTTTAATTTATATTCTTATTGATTGTTATTACTAAATAATATATTTTTGAGTTTGATACATAAATTATAATTTAAAATAATTAAATTATAATCTTCTTTAATATAGAGTTTTAATTTCTGGAATTTGCATACAATACATTTTAAAATTTATTTAGATACACTATAGATAAATATTTGTTAG